GGGGGGGGGCTCTGTCACGAATCCGGCCCATGAACTTTAATCTGCTATCCATCAGAGGGCACCCTTTCCTATTGCATTGACTCTCGCACTACACACTGTTGCACATCACCCCGGACTACATTTCCCATCATGCATTGCACTGATTGCACTCAGCACGGATTGCACACAGCTGTACACTGATTGCACCCAGCTGTTTCATATCACTCCCTCACTATTTAACACTCACTCTGATCCCTTCCCTCGACCGAGTATTGTCTAGCGCTTATCTTCCCCCAGATAGCTACATTATAGAGCCCTAGTGATTTTCCTTGCCTTAGCCCTAGCCCTAGCCCTAGCTGTTTTCTCGGTTCTTGATCTTCGCCTGGTTTCTTGGATTTCTCCCTTAGTCTTGTCCCTTCCGATTCTGTCTGCCCATCGGTGCCCTTCGCTAGCCCTGTGACTGTTCTTGTGTTTTGCCCGCCATATGCCTGTGTTCTGACCCTGCCTGTCTTATGACCACGTCTCTGTCTGATAAAGCTTTGCATATGGATCCGCACGTCTCACGTCTCGTCAGCCCCGTAACAACTTCATGCATTAGGAGAGGAAGCCTTTATCAGGGTGGTTTGAATGTTGTGGACTTTACAACTTTGAATAGCAATTTTATTAGCTCCTCTATGTGGACTATTTTTCCATTTATTTAATCAACTTTGAGCTCCTGAAAAACCCCAACCAATTCCTTGTGTGTTTGTACACACCTGGAGAATAAAAACTTATGGAGTTACTAGGGAATCAAACTAATTTTAGGTTCATATGTACATTAGCATCTGTCTGTATATCACTGCTATTTTTTCTGTAACATTTGAGAAATAATAGTAATTGTTACAGCACTTTTATAGGCTTACAGCACATATTCTGACTCGAATAATCAGTTTCTAGCAGCAAACACTCAGAATAAAGTCTGGTGATGTTCCTGAATGGCTTGTTTAATGAGTATTGATACTCTGAGGCTCATCACTGTTAACAGAGCAGCTGAAAAGACTCATTTCATGTCAATAGATCCTGTTTTCACCTCATGTATTATGCTAATGCCTTCAGATCAGTATACTGACACATTAAGCTTGTTTTATTGGTGACAAGCAAACAACACAATCAAGATGTTGTGACATCTACAAGATATAGGTACGTTTCATAATGGTGTTTATTTCAAGGGACTACAATCAGATCAAATTAAAAATAGGTAACGTTAAATCCAAATGGTGCATATAAAGTGCACCAGCATGCAATGATTGTGGCAACTGTGACAAAAGTATACCTTTCCTTATTCGTACAGATTTTTTAATAAATATATGATTGACCTGAAGAATGAATAAAGTAAGAACATATACTTGGATATTTATGTGAGCAGTATCCCTCATGGCCGTGTAAAATGGCTCTATATTTATATCAGATGGGCTGCAGCATTAA